TGTGAGCTGAGCTGAGTTTGGGCTCCTGACACGCCCCAGATAAGGAGCTGGCTGAGCTGAGCTGGGCTTAACTGAGCTGAGCTGAGTTTGGGCTCCTGACACGCCCCAGATAAGGAGCTCTCCCTGCTCACGCCTCTTGGCGTTTTTATCTCTCATTCCTAACCCCCCACACCTCCTTTGCTATTGGTGTGAGGCCACYAGGACATTTTTATAGGGAAAAAAGAATAATTCATGTGCCTGTGCTTCATGTAGTCGAGTTCACAATGCCTTCCCGTTACCTCAACTTCCGGTGGAGCGTGCCCTGGCTGATCCTTTTGCTGGAAATTGTTTTCCTCAYCCACTCTTTCCTTCTCTTCCCAAATGTTGGTAACATCTACTCACCAGCTGCCTTCTACCCAGGTAAGCCCTGCTGGGAAAGGAGGGATAATCCCTGCTCCCGTTGTGCCCTGCAGTAAGGGTGGGACTTTGCAGGGTTTTATGGTGAGAAGGGCAATGGTTTTGTTGTTTTTTAAACTTGCCACGAGTGGTGGAAGTTTATTTATATCAGAGGTATGATGAGGATCTAAGACTAGCTTGCATTTTTGGTTATTTTCTGGTTTTTTTGACCTCTTGCCCACCATCCTGTGGTATGTGTTCAGGTCACTGTAAGAATAAATTCAGGGTTAAGGGTATTGTTTCTCTGATTATTTATGGATTGGAAAAAAAAAACTCTGGAATTCATTGCAAGTACTAAACAATAATAGCACTTAAATTTTTATCTGAAGGCTTCTTAGTTAATTGTGATTTTTTTAAATTGATTTTTGTTTTAAACCAGAAACCTGCATTGATAATTTCACTGCTGTCTTGGTGTTTTCTGTCCTGCAGAATTTCAAGATGTCAACCACATGGTGATTTTTGGATTTGGCTTTTTCCTGATCGTTCTGAGAAGATATGGCTTTAGCAGCACTGGATTCAACTTCCTGCTCATTGTTCTTGGTGTCCAGTTCTCTGTGCTGGTAGAAGATTTATTGGTTTTCCTTAAGATAGAGCAAAGTGGAAGTGGTATRAAAAGGTAATGAATTCATTTTAGAGCTGGACTAATGCAGAACTGCTGATTGCTCCTTGTGGARGGCAATTCCTCCTTACAGGGACCTGTTTGGGAATGAGCACAGTCCCATTTGCAGACATTCTAGAGGGATTTTGGTTATTTTAAGTACATTGCTGTGTGTCATTCTTTATTTGCCCTGGGGTCACCCTGATGCTGAGCTYTTTTCCTTTCCTTTGTGTTTTACAGCTTGGCAAAGGCTGTGGTGAGCGTGACTGCTGTGGCCATCTCCACTGGGGCTGTCCTGGGCAGGGCCAATCCTGTGCAGTTGATTGTGATGACCCTGGTGGAATTACTCATTTTCCATGTGAGCAGATGCATCAACGGGACATTCCTGAAGGTACCCTGGTGGGAATTGCAGATACCTGGGGGGAAATGTCCTTGGAATTTTGGAACAACTCTGTCAGGAACTGCTTTGTGTTGCTGAATTAACCCACAGCTGGTGAATATTGTGTTGCTGCAGGTCCAGGACAGCCTCTCCCTGATGCACGTGCACCTTTTTGGAGCCTACTTTGGTCTGGCTGTGGCCTCCTGCTTCCCCGAGGCCCCCCCAGGGCTGGACAAGAACAGGAGCACCCCGCAGTCAGAGCTGTTCTCAGTGCTGGGTGAGTCCTTGGCTGGAAGGRGACACCACAGGGGGAGATTTGGGGGCTTTGAATGCGAAATTCAGCTCTGAATGCAGCCAAGCACAGAAACTGCTGCTCTGCTTCCTGCTTTGTGACAATGGCCACTTTCCTAGCTGGCCCAGAGGCCACTCCTGCCACTGTTGGGGCACAGTTTGCTTTTGTCACCTCAGCACAAAGGCTGCTCCAGGTTAACAGCTCCTTCTCCAGTTTCACTGTTCCCTTTCCTGGCCAAGCTGTGCCCCTTGGCTTGTCCAGGCCTGCTGGTGAAGGACCTGTGTGCCAAAGCTGAGCTCATAACTTGTATTTCAGCAGAGCTCCCAGTTCCCAGCTCAGTCTGYTTTGCCAGGTGGTGCACAGAGATATAAAAAGGCAGTCCCTGCCTGGTAACATAAAATAAAAGATAAAGCCTGSTGAAGGGTGGGGAGGGTAACACARGCAGCCCCATGAGAGAGGAACTTGCTGAGGACAGGCTGAGGGTCTGGGACTTCCATTCC